GCTGCTGCTCCTGCTGCTGCTGCTACTGACTCCGCTGCTCCTGTTACTGACTCTGCTGCTGCTGCTGCTGACTCTGGTGCTTCTGCCTCTGCTGCTTTTGCTGACGGCGCTGCTGCTGCTGCATCTGTTGCTGTTGTTGCAGCTGCTCCTGCTGGCTTTGTTGCTGCTGCTGCTGACTCTGGCGCTGTCCCTCCCGTCGCTGTTGCTTTTGCTGCTGTTGCTTTTGCTGCTGTTGCTGCTGCTGTTACTGCTGCGGCTGCTGTCGCCTTGCCGTTGCTGCTGCTGCGCAGGTATAGGAGGGCCCCTGATCGTCTGCGAGCGCTGAGCAGCAGATTGCTGCAGCGTTTGCTGCTGTCTTCATATTGCCGCTGCAGCCCCAAGCAGCTGGTAATTGAACGTAAAGAAACGCGCAGCAAACCCATCTGGGTAAGACCTCAGAAAGACACCGCCTGCTGCTGCTGCTGCTGCTGCTGCTGCTGCTGCAGACAAAGACCACCATATAAACCCTAAACCCCACAGCAGATAAAACCCTAAACCCTAAACCCTAAACCCTAAACCCTAAATATACTCTTAGTACAAAGCACCAAACAAAACCCTAAACCCTAAACCCTAAACCCTCCGATTAACCTTCAACATACACCGCAGGGGCGTATGGGTGAGCTTAACGTAGGGGCTGTTTCTTGTTAAGGTATCTCATCTTGCTGCTGCTGCTTGTGCTGCTGCTGCTGCTGCTTGTGCTGCTGCTGGTGCTGCTGCAGAAGCCTTCCCTGGGAGAGACGGCCGAGTTCCTACACTTCAATGTCTCCGTAAGTTATACTGCAGTCTTCAACAGCAGCAGCAGCAGCAGCAGCAGTAACAGCAGCAGCAGCAGTAACAGCAGCAGCAGCAGCAATATCAACAACAACAAGCCCCAGCAATGCTGGCGCTCCTGTACATGTACATATTGTCCTGCCGCTACTGCTGCTGCCGCTGCTGCTGCTGCTGGTTGTGCTGCTGCTGTTTCTGCTGCTGTTGCTGCTGCTGCAGCACGATGAAGGCCTTGTTGTCTTTGGGGCTTCTCGGCACCTTGTGGGCGTCGATTGCATGCGCTGTTCTCCAAGAGGCAGGCAAGCAGCAGCAGCAGCAGCAGCAGCAGCAGCAGCAGCAGCAGTAGCAGCAGCAGCAGCAACGATAGCTTTGACTGCCTCACTGCAGCAGCAAATATCTTTCTTATCCACCGCATCGCCTGCAGCAGCAGCGTTAGCAGCATTAGCAGCATCAGTATGCGCATGAGCATCAGCATCAACAGCAGCAGCAGCAGCAGCAGCAGCAGGAGCAGGAGAGCGTAGTGATTGTATGTTTGCTGCAGCAGAGACACAACGCAGTTCCTGCAGCAAATGAAGGCACACTGCACAGCGAGAGACTGGGCATACATCATGGGCGTCAGGCTGCCAGAGCAGCAAATAAGAAGATTCATGAGGTACCCTCTCATCTCACTACAATTACTAGACCTGCTGCTGCAGCAAATCATGCTGCTGCAGCAAATCATGCCGCTGCAGCAACTCATGCTGCTGCAGCAAATCATGCTGCTGCAGTAACTCATGTTGCTGCAGTAACTCGTGCTGCTGCTGCAGCACCTGATGCTGCAGCAACACTTGCCGCTGCAGCAACAACGCTGCAGCAGCAGCAGCAGCCGCTGAGGGCCCCTCAGGGTATTGAGAGGCCTTTGCTGCAGCAGCAGGAACCTCAAAGTCTGCTGCTGCTGCAGTAGCAGCAACCTCCATGCATGCAGAGCTGCGTCTGTTGCTGCTGCTGCCACTTCTGCTGCTGCTGCTGCTGCTGCTGCTGCTGCAGGGTGTGGACTGTGAAGGAGGCGTTTGTGAAGGCAATCGGCACGGGTGAGGAGACACTTTATTAAAAGGAGACAGCAGCAAATAAGCAAAATAATAAATAGTAGGATTTACATTCATTTCTTTGTTCATCTGTTTATTATTTATTATTTATTATTTATTATTTATTATTTATTATTTATTATTTATTATTTATTATTTATTATTTTTATATAGGAATATACATTGACCCCGAGAGACTAGAGTGTACATTTCCCGCCTCGGGCTCTCCTCAGCTGTCTCTCGACAGTATACCCCAAACTGTATGTCGCATGCAATAGGGTTTAGGGTTTAGGGTTTAGGGTTTAGGGTTTGGGGTTTAGGGTTTGGGTCTTAGGGTTGAGGGTGTACGGGGTTAGGGTTTAGGCTCTGATCAAAAAAGGTTTAGGGTTTAGGGTTTGGGGTTTAGAGTATTACTAGGTAGTGTAGGGAGTGAGGGTTTATTGCATTAGGGTTTAGGGTTTAGGGTTTAGGGTTTAGGGTTTAGGGTTTAGGGTTTATTGTTTCTTTAGGACTTTCACTTCCGTCTTGAAGAGGAAGAGGCGCCTGATTATGTTATTTGCGTTTGTGTGGGGCCCCCCAGCAGAGCAATAGAAGAATATAAAAAATGCATGCAACCAGTAAGAGAGTAAACCCTAGGGTTTAGGGTTTAGGGTTTAGGGTTTAGGGTTTGGGTGGTGGAGGCCCTGGGGGCGCATTGCAATACTGCAGCAGATGCAGCTGCTGCGGCATCTCCCTGTCTCCTCTTACTTTTCTGTCTCTTTTTGTCTCTCTTTGTTTCTCTCTCTTTGCTCTAATTGCTTCTATATTATATATATATATTCATTTGTATACGTTGCATGCAGTTGGGTCTGAGCCTGTTGTATAGAGTTTGAATAATTAAAGCTTGTTTTCTGCATGCAATTGCGGTGTACGTACACCTCAGGAGAAAGTATCTAATTCATGTTCAATAACAACAACCCCACCATCAGACGCGTGGGGCTTTAGGGGATATTCATTTTCAGAGTTTATTGCTGCAGCAGATGCAGCAATTGCTACATATAAACCCTAGAACCTGCTGCAGCAGCTGCAGCAGCTGCTGCTGCTGCAGCTGCAGCAGCAGGAAGAGTGTTTTTTTTGTCTCTTCTTCACTTCTACGGCACAGGAGGAAGCAATGCGGTGTATAGACAATCACTTGCAATCACACGTAAAGTTGTTTGTTTATCTCTACTCTCCTTTTGTCTTCTTAATTCTGATATGTTATAAAGCAGCAGCTGCTGCTGTCGTTGTTGTTGTCGTCCTTGCTGCTGCTGCTGGTACTGCTGTTGCTGGAGTTGCTGCTGCCGTTGCACCCTCTGCTGCTGCTGCTGCTGCTGATCTCGCTACTGCTGCTCTTGCTGCTGCTGCTGATGTTGCTGCTGCTGCTGCTTGAATCTTTCATGTACAGCAAAACCCTCAACAGGCCCCTAGGAGAGGCAGCAGCCTTAGCAGCAGCAACAGCAACAGCAGTAGCAGCAGCAGCATTAGCAGCAGCAGCATCAGCAGCAGCAGCAGCAGCAAAGTGTTTGCCTCAGGCTTAGTATGTTGGTGTAGAGGTAAAGGGTATATTTAAGTTATCAGAAAAAGCGAAGAAATATAATAATTTTAATTGCAACGACAAAAGCACAGCAGTGTCTGTACACCGCAGATTATTATTTATAATAATATTATTTTCATCATTATTATTAATATTACTCTAATACTTATTGATCATATTACTACAATACTCTTTATTATTTATAACATTATCTTAAGACTCATTATTATTTATAATAGTAGCATTATATGCATTATTATTTTTATTTTTAATATTACTCGG